TCACGAAAAACCAAAAAAAAAAAAAAAAAAAAAAAAAAAAAAAAAAAAAAAAAAAAAAAAAAGAAGAGCCCAGGTAAAGATCCTGCCCTTTCCTAGCCCTACTGACAAGTACAGAGTCAGGCAAGGGCATAGGTGGAGGGCTTCCTGGAAGAGGCATTTGGCTTGGCTCTGATCCATGTTAAAATTTTACTAAAAAGGAGAGAGACCAGAGACTTTGTCTAGGCAGAGGCCAGAGGAGCAAAGAAGTGGACCTTTAAGGGCTTACAGGGCCACTTAGGGAAACAGCTGGTGGCTGGAGAGGTAATGAGGCCAGAGAGAGAGAAGAGCATGGGGGACTTCCCTGTCCTTGACACCAAAGTGCTCAGAGCTTCCTGAATGGAGGGTTTGAATCCACAGAACAAGGGGAACCTTCCGGGCCTGGCCTCCAAGGCTGTCTAGGGTGGCCACTCCGTGCTGCCAAGATAATAGCTCCAAAGGGCTGGGCCAGGAACTCTCTCTGAAAGGACCGAAGGAGGTGTTAAGGCCAGGCAAGTGGAGGGTGGAGCTGGCCAGGAGGAGCAGGCCAAGCCACCCAGGCCACGTCACGCCTGTGGTACCACCCCTTAGCTTGGAAAGGGAAGAGCCTGGTTTGCCTGGGAAACAGGAGCCTGCAGAGGAGGCGGTAATTGCCCGATGTCAGTTAGTGTCTGCAGGCCTGTGGGCAGTGAGAGAGGCTGCATCTGCGTTTCCCCAGAGCAGGCCCTGAGTGTGGGTGGGGCCTTGCAGGCCCTTGTCTTGGCCCAGTTAAAAGGCTGGTCTCAGAAGACCCTGACCAGTGAGCAGCAAAGCTTGGTGGGTCGGTCGGTCACCTTCTGGAGCAGAATGGGGGCAGAGTGTGACTCCCACCTGGGGAAGGCAGGTAGGATGGGTACTGCATTAGTGAGTCCTGGTGTCCACTGACAGTCACTTTAACAAGGTCCTGTACAGGCGTGTCCACACTGAGACAGCTGACCAAAGACATGGAGATATGAGCTCACGCACTCAGGCGAGGACACTGGTAACCCTCGTAGTGTCCTCCATTGGACACTGAGATCCACTGAAGCTAGAGGAGGGTGGTGGGGGAACAAGAGGAAGGGCCATATGAGAGGCACCAGGGACACCATGCCCAACCAGAATGCCAGCCCTTGAACCCTACGGTGCCTCAGGGGACCAGACCCTCCCCAGCCGAATCCACACTGGCCATCTCAGTCACCATTAGGAGAGAGTGTGAAAGCCAGCCCCCGGATATCCTGGGTGGAGCCCAGCCTATGCAAATTACATCTACACTGACAGGTCTGGGAGGGTGTGGCCTACTTCTGACCTGTGACCCCTTTCCCAGACTCCTCCCTTGCTTGGGAAATTTGTGGGGCACACAGGGAAACTGACCCTGTGAGTGGAGGGTGTTGTGCTTAATTGGGGGGGGGGTAGGGGTTGCTGGAGGTGAGGGGCGTATGTGAGGAAGATGGACAGGTACTCTGAAAATGAACAGAAGACTGGGCTATGGCCAGAAGGTAGGCAGCCTATCCAGAGACCTGCCCGGGGTCTGACTGCTATTTCCCCTTTCTCCCAGGGACCATGCTGGGACTCTGTGCATCTGTGCATCCACTGACCCGAACTCTAGGACCCACCCTGGGTGGCCTGCTTTACCGCAGTTATGGTGTCTCCATCTTTGGCCATGTGCAGTTCATGGTGAATTTGCTTGTCCTGTTGGTCCTCTGGAGGAAGCCGTTGTCCCAGAAGAGAGACAAAGCCCAGTGACCACAGAGCCCAGTGACCTGGCCCAGTCAGGCAATAAACTTCTGAACCTCTTCCTCCTGAGTTCTTTGGGCTTCGCCTAGATCTGTGGGTAGAAAGCCTAGGAGTCAAGAATGGAGCCAAGCCAGAGGGCTTTCTGGGGGAGGAACTACAGCTGGGCCCAAGGCTCTAGGGAGCACAAACTTGCCTGAGTCAGTTCCAGGTCATTAATCCAGCCCTTGAGTCCACTAACACAACCACTGAGGAATCCTCCAGACAGCTCTAGCAAAGCTCAGACACTCAGAAAGGTGTGAGCCTTCCCTGGCTCACAGTGTCCCCCTCCTGGGATCTGAAGCAGGTTGGTTTAAAAGACAGGAGCCAGTTGTGGTGGTGGCGCATGCCTTTAATCCAGAATCCAGGAGGCAGAGGTAGACAGATCTCTGAGTTCAAGGTCAGCCTGGTAGCTAGTTCCAGGTCAGCTAAGGTTATATCATGAGACCTTGTCTCTAAAAAGAGGAGGAGGAAGCGGGGAACTAGGCTTGGGAGGGGAAAACTGGGGCCAAACACCTAACCCCAGCCTCCTCAGCCTTAGAGCTGCGCCAAGGACACTGGCCTGTCCCGTCTCCCCACAGACCTCACCAGTGGCTGGAACTAGGTTCTCCTCCTGAGACCAAGCAGCCAACTCCTGTAGACTTCTTCGAAAGAAGCTGCTAAAACTTGGAATCTGGGCTGAGGAGATGGCTCAGCATGTAGGAGCTCTCGCCCTTGCAGAGGATCCAATTCAATTCATAGCCTCCACATGAAGGCAAACAGCCATCTATTACTCTAGTTCCAAGGGATCTGCTGCTCTTTTCTGAGTTCCATGGGCTCCAGGCACACGTGGTACACATACATACATGCAGGGGAAAAACAAAAAACCTTAGCCGGGCATGGTGATACAGGCTATCCCAGCAGGTGGAGTTCGAGGCCAGCCCATTCTACAAAGTGAATTCCAACACAGCAAGGGATACACAGAGAAATCCTGTCTCAAAACAAACAAATAAACAAACAAACAAACAAAAAACAACAAAACAAGCCTTAGAATCCTTAAGCCTCAGAATTCCAGTCTGCCCACATGCCACCTACCACCTCAGGACACAGTGTCCACTTAAACCCTACCAGGAACAAGGGGGCTCATCCCCTGAGGTTGTTTGTTTGACTATGTAAGGATCTGTGGGAGGAGGTCTTTGAAATGGGACAGAAGGGGTGATCACTTCTGCTTTTAGGAAAGCCCCCCCCACACACACACACCCCTGTTTGCTTTAAGAGAAAACTCCTTGTAAGGAAAAACTACGCTAGCCCCCAAGACTTCCTAAGGAGAAAGGGGAACCCCTCGTGGTCCTGACTTCTAAGGCCTAGCTGAAAGGTATGTGGCACCTCTATCTTCCCGGCATTCCCATAGCCAGAGAGGCCCAGGAACGATGGTACTTCAGTGTCTGTCACTCTGCCTTTTTAGGTATGTCCTCCAGCAAAACCTTTGGGGAAGGGTCACACCTCTGTCTCAGGCCCTAGCACCTGGCTACCTGCCTACCTGACACAGACTTTGAGCCCCTTACAGAGAACACAGGCAGGTGGGGGTCGGAGTTGACACCTGGCAGATGACTCAGGGAGTGGCGTAGAAGTAGGACAGGTGTCTGATGAGCTCCCAGGCTTCATACCAACACCACAGCTCTGGGCCCTGCTGCTCCAGCACTGGAGACAGCCAGGCCTGCCTCCCGTTTGTGACAAAAGACACACACACAGTGCGCTAGCCCTGTTGCTGGACACTGGACAGGAGGGCTGGTAGCTGGACTGTCAAGCCTCTGTGGCCCAGTGACGGGGGTTGTGGAGGCGCCAACAGTCAACCATCCCGACAGATGGTATACGGGTGGGAGGGGACAATGGAGGCAGCCACCTCAGCGGACAGAGCAACTGCTCAGGTGTCCAGGAGGTGCCGGTTAGTGAGTGAACTCTGAGCAAGCATGGCCACCAGCCCTATCCTTCCCAAGCCACACCCAGGAGCAAAAGGTAGCCAAGCCACACCCGGAGTACTTCCTGACCTGCAGAGGCTGTGAACCCCACTGGCAGGTGACAGTTCATTCAAAGGCAGTTTGAATGGTTCCTGGGACGCGGAGAGGGAATGATATTGGATGGGAGACCCTGTCACTCCCGCCCTTCCACACACATACCCCAGCAGGAACTATACGGACCACACAAGTTAAAAAAGATAAATGGCAATGTTTATTTGGAATGAAAATACTGTATAAAAAAATATTAAAACGGAACGGTGGGTTGACAGTTGAAGACCATCAAGATAAATACAGTCCAATAAGTTAGCGCACCCGCACAGCGGGGCGAGGCTCAGCAAGCACGGGAAAATCTTCGGCGAAGAGCAGTAGCCGCGTCGCCCGGGGCATCTCCTGGGCTCCTGGGATCCTGTTTGACGCGGCCGCGTGGGCTGGTTCCCGGCTCAACTGGTCTCTGTGGGAAGAGGACTGAGTCAGGAGCTGTCCTAGAGCAGGTCGGGGTGCAGCCTATAAGCCTCCAAGAGGGGCGAGAGATTCCCGCCTTGCGTCCCAGGTCCCCTCTCCAAAGCGTCTCCAAGGAGCTAGGCTCCCCGTACGCTCCCCCGTAGCTTTCGGAATCTAAGTTTTCCCCCAGTGGGCGGCATGACCCCCATCTACACACCCCCATACCCTGTACTCACCAGTGCGGACGAAGGCGGCACTCACCACGGACTCGGGGAGCGCGGCTCTTCGGACTCCTCCTGCTCTTCATACGCGATGGGCAGGAGACGGTGGCGGCGGAAGCCTTCCAACGCCCGACGGTTCTGGTACTCGATCAACGCCAGGGTGATGAACGCGTTCCAGCAGCTCTCTTCGGTGCAGCGGAAGTCGATCTCCTTATAGTCAATGGTGACGATGGTGAAGTACACATGCTTGCGGGTGTGCTCCACGCAGTCCACCTTGAGGATGGAGTGGAAGCGCAGCTCCTTAGCTCGCTCGCTGGACCGGGAGAAGAGGCGCAGGCGGTCGTCGGTGAGCACGCCGCGCTTCTTCTTCCAGAGCTGCAACAGGCTGTCGCTTCGCTTCTCCAGCTGCCCCTCGCGAAGAATCTCGCCGGGGGTCGTCGAGAGTTTCGAAGCCATTGGGAAAGGATGGATGTATCAAACGAGCTCGTTCTGCGGCCCGCCCGCCGCGGCATGGGCCTTATAAGGACTCCGCCCCACGTCCCAGCCACGCCCCGCAGCTGGGCACTCTCCTACCCAGGCCAGCTCCCGGGGCTGCCCCCCACCGACCGCTCCTGGCTGCCCCTTACCCACTGCCTGGGGCTGCAGCTTATCGGAGGCTGAAGGGGGTGGGGGTAGGGGGGCTGCTCGGCGCCTCTCTGACGGGCCCCAGAGCTTTCCCTCCAGCCCCAACGTCCCAGCTGCCTGTTGGAGTGACTCGCGGTCCCCTCCCCTCCCCTCCCGGGTGCCGGCCCGGCCTGCTTAGGAATGCGCGGCCTCGGCCCCTGCTCGCAACTCACAGGCGGGAAAGACCTAGGGAGCACCCCAACCCCTAGACGGGACCACAGTGCCCAGAATCCCACTCACTGAGAGACCCAGAGCTCCTGGTTCACGAGAGTCACGGACCCACGGGTTCTTTCCTAGCTCCGGCAGCCGTCTCCTCCCCGCTTGGGCGCGCATCCAAAGGCCACCCACTAGATCGTCTTGGGAAGTGGCCCTGCCCCAACGGGCTTTATTACTCATATTGCTCCCCGGAGTTGTGCCTCGAAGGAGTTCTCTGAGTTTCTTTTCCCTTCTGTAAAATGGGACGATGACCTTTATTAGGTTTTAAGTTAGGCAGTGCGGAAGGGAGAAGGGGGAACAGAACCCCGCAATGCTCAACCATGTGAACAGAGAGGCCTGCCTCCTTTCTGGGGCCCTTGTGTGCCCCAACCTGAGCAACAAACACCTCGGGCTGCGACCCTACAACCCCGACTTGCAGGAAGTTCGGGGGGGTGGGGGGGGGTGGCTAACAAAGCTAGCTTGGAGAATGTGGGGACCGACCTAGGGGACAGGGGTGGCGGGGGCGGCTGAGTCATCGCCTTTCAGTGCACGGTTTTATTTATCATCTGCTTTTAAAGGTTTAATAGCAGCAGGAAGCGGACGCTGCTCCTCCAAGATTCCCAGGGATGGGGGAGGAGCTGGACGAGGGACCCCAGAGAGTCCCCCACAGGTATGGGATGGGAGGCAGGGGTCCTGGGATGGGGTGGGGAGCGGGGCGGGGGAGGGGCGGGGTGTGTGTGCAAGGAAAAACCCCTGGCTATCGGAGAACTAGACAACCTGCGTCTAGGCCGGCTGGCTCCCAGTGAAAACGCAGGCCCCTCCATTTAAACAACTAAAATTAAGACTGACAGCCAGCCTAAAAGTCCAGTTCCGTGACCTGGCGTGATTCTGAGGCAGGTATATCCCACAATGAGGAGGCTGAGGCAAGAACGGCCAATCTAGGTCAGTCTGAGTTTTATAGTGAATTCAAGACTACCCAGAGCCGCATAGCAAAAAAAAAAAAAGGGGGGGGGGCCGAAGAGATGGCTAAGCAGTTAAGAGTGCTTGCTGCTCTTTCAGAGGATCTAAATTTGGTTCCTGCTTCCAGTTGGGTGGCTCACAACCATCCACCCAGCCCTAGGGAAACATGTTGCCCTCTCCTGCCCCCCAACACACAAAAACATATACATTAAAATAAAAATAAATCTTAAAAATAAAAAGAAATTTGGTAATGGCCCAGTGGGCTCAGGGGTTAAGAATGCTTGCTTTTCCAGAGGACTTGGGTTGGGTTCCCAACATCCTCAGGGCGGCTGACATCCACAACCCCATGGGACGTCCTCTTCTGACCCACGTGCACATGCATGTGTGTGGGCAATACACTCAAACACATAAAATGAATGAAAAAAACTTTTTAAATATAAACTGGGCGGTGGGGGCACACGCCTTTAGTCCCAGCACTCAGGGAGGCAGAGGCAGGAGGATCTCTGTGAGTTCGAGGCCAGCCTGGTCTACAGAGTGAGTTCCAGGACAGCCAGAGAGCTACACAGAGAAACCCTGTCTCAAACAACAACAACAAAAAGTTAAAATATCAATATAAAAACAAAAAGAGAGGGCTGGAAAAATGGTTCGGTAGTTAGAGGCAGTTGCTCTCAACCTTGGTGGCTTGAGTTTAATCCCTGGTATCACTATGATGGAAGAAGAGAACCTGAGTCCCTCAAATTGCCCTGTGACTTTTGTGCATGGATGCGCACACACAGAGAGATCAAAGTAGTGTAAAATAAAAATCTTTTTAAATTGAAAAATGACCAAGAAATCCTGGAGCCACTCACTGACTTTCACTGTGGGTTCCACAAGCCCCTTCCCCAAAACACCCCCCCCCCCCCCCCGTGTGCGCGCGCTCACACAGAACCCTGCCTTTCAAGGTCCCTGAGGAAAAACCGAGCTTTACAAGCTCTGCCCAGGGCCCTCAGGGGTGTGTGGAAGAACAGGAGGGTCCAGCATACCTGTGGAAGAAGAGCAACAATACAAAAACAGGTAGGCAGTCGGCCAGCCCTGCCTGCTCAGATAAGAGCAATCCAGAAGGTGGATGGGAGCGTGCTCTTGGGACCCTTGGATAAGATAGGCAGTGAGTCCACACTGAAGGAATCCCAGCTGACTAGCCAACGTCAGGTTGAAAGCACTCCCAGAGGGCGGGCGACCGCTCTCCCTGGTGTCCCTTCTCCAGGCTGCTTAGCCACGTGGCGGCCTGAGCTGCCTCTGCTGGTGCTTCCAGTAGGTGAAGCGGCAGCCACGAAAGAGGCCACTCTGGAAAGTGGAAGTTAGGAAAGGAACTAACAGCCGCCCTGGATCCCCGTTCCCATCACGCTCTGTTCTCCATGCTCCACGCTCTTGCTCCAGGCCTCGCAGACATTTGGTGTTGTTCAAGCGGTGCTTGCCACACTGAGTGCTGGGGAGGCAGGGGGAAGCGAGCCCCTGCTCGGCAGAAGCACTGCTGGTCGATGGTAGTGTGAGAATAGGGGCAGGGATCTGGCACTTATGGGGACCTTGGAATGGTCCCCCAAAGAACATGGAGAGCCTTTTGCTACCCAAGTACTAGGCACTGTGTGCCCAGCTTCCACCACCATCCCCAGAAATCCAAACAGAATATTCTTTTTTTTTTTTTTTTTTGGTTTTTCAAGACAGGGTTTCTCTGTGTAGCTTTGCGCCTTTCCTGGGACTCACTTGGTAGCCCAGGCTGGCCTCGAACTCACAGAGATCCGCCTGCCTCTGCCTCCCGAGTGCTGGGATTAAAGTCGTGCGCCACCACCGCCCGGCCAAACAGAATATTCTAACCCGTGTCACTGGAGAAGAAAGAAGTTCAAGGGACGGAGGGCCTGCACGGCCCCAGGGCAGGGGAGGAGGGTGAGCACTTCAAGACCAGGGCAGGGGCAGATGATCGAGGCTGGAATCCAGCCACCCAACTCCTCTCTTTACCCAGAAGCCCTGCTGTTCTCTGGAAGTTGGGGATGACCTAGTGGACAGGGTCCTGCCGTGGAGAAAGAAGTGGAGGAAGGGAACTGGGAGGCTTGGCACAGGACACAGAAAACCCTGTGCCCGGCATCCTCTCGAGGGCTTCCTGTCCAAACCATCCAGGCCCCTCAGACAAAGTCAAGACTGGGTGTGGGCTGTGACAGCTTCTGGTGAACTGGTATCCAGATGAGTAGAGCCGACCAGCAATGTTAGACCCTCTGTCAACAGACATCCCTTAGCTGGTCACCCGACAGCTGATAGATATCCTGGGCTCTAGCATGGCTGAGTCAATAAGAACTGAGTTGGTACCTCGGACTTGTTCTTGGGCAGATACAGACTTTCTTAGTGACATCCTCGGGAGCACCTGCCCAACACCAATACTCAGAAAGAGCAGAGTTATGTCAGGGTGACACTGCCGGGAAGGTTCCGTCCCCAGCCCCCAGAGGCCATCTGAGTCCCCTGAGTAAGGGGACTGAGGTGCCTGTTTCTGTTTCTCAGGTTGTTGGGGCAGGCATCCGGGGGAAGCAAGCTCTGACTCACGAGCCCAAGTGAGAGGCCTGGGACCCCAGGATGTCTTGTTGTATGTTGAGACAGGGTCTCATGCAGTTCAGGCGGGCTTTGAACTTGTTGTGTAGCAGAGGACAAGCCTAAACCTTTGATCCCCCTGCCTCCACTTGTCAAGGGCTGTTTGGTGTTACAGGTGTTCAGGACCACTCCTGGGTTTATACAGTGCAGATCAAACCCGGGGCTTTGATCAGGCTAGGCAAGTGCTCTGCTAACTGAGCTCCAGTCCCCAGCACCCGCTTCTAATTGTTTCTTCATCTACAATTGTCTGTGTGTGCGCGCAGGTGTGCCTGTGCCACAGTGCATGGAGGTAAAGGGACAAGTTTCAGGAGTTTGTTCCCAAACTCAGGTCATCAGACATGCATAGCAGCTGCTTTTATTTGCGGAGCTGTCTTGCAGCCCCCCCCCCCAGCCCCTTTTATATAATTTCTTTTTGAACATTTTTTTAATTAAGGGCTGGAGAGATGGGTCAGGGTTAAGTGCACAGTCTGCTTTTGCAGAGGTGCCTGGTTTGGTTCCCAATATCTACATGGCAGCTGGCGCCCAACCATTTTTAACTCCCGTTCTAGGGGATCTGGCACCCTCTTCTGGCCTCTTCAGGTACTGCATGAATGTGGTGCACAGATGTATATGCAAGCACTCGTACCACATAGAATCAAAATAAATATTTTTAAAGAACCTTTAAAATTAATTCAGTTAATTAGTTAATTGATTATGTGGTGTTGGACATCAGACCATTGGCTTTGTGAGCCAGTCAAGAGCGCTACCTTCTATTGAGATATACCTCAGACCCTGCCACCCTTTTTTTTAAAAACAGGGTCTCATGTAGCCCAGGTTGGCCTGTAACTCAGGAAGCATAACCTTCAACTGAGCCTCCAGCCTTCTTCCAGTCGTCAAGTGCTAGGATTGCAGGTACACACCATCACTCCTGTCCCTACGCAGTACTTCAGATTGAACCCAATGTCTCGGGCATGCTGCACAAGCATTCTACCAACTGTATTACATCACTCAGGCTCCTGACAGCCAAGAGCAACCCTAGTGCCAAG